ATAAATTCGCCTAGTAGAAAACGGGCCTACGCATGCATGTTATTGCGGTTATCCTGCTTGTACATCGTTCAAATGTTGTAAACTTATACGTGTGTTACACAGTTACCTAAAAAGATATGACAGTACAAATGACCGCCTTGACAAAGACGAGTCAAAATTTGAACTAATTCAAAGCTTTAAAATGGGAATGTAGATTAAAGTTTATTTGACGGAAACCCGTGTTTCAATTCCGATTGTCTGTAACAATAATCAAATGAAATGTACAATGTTAGCGCTGAAACATTGATGGGAATAATCATAGTTTTAACACAAAGTAATTAATTGATTCAGAGCATAGGCGCCCAAAAATTGCGCGAGAAATTTTTCGGTAATTTGTCAATATAATGAAATAATGTATAATTACATAAGATAGGGAGCTCTTTTTTTTTACGTTTCGAACCTTACCACTTAGACTATGACAAACTACCTCAATTATATTGTCCAAAACTAATAAAAAAATGTATAACGAATTACGAATGAAATATAGTATTGCGAATTACGATTTAAAACTGCTTTTAACATGACAAAATACGGTAATATTTATATAGTTTTTGATCAAAAGCTTTTCGTACGATGCGGGGTGACAGTGGTCCCTGTACTCGTCATTGTTTTTAAATATTTTACATGATCCTATTGGCTGAGGTTTGTTGGTCTGTTTTTTCAACCAATAGGATCATGTAAAATATTCATAATCCTCAAACCAACTGTCAATGTTTTGGAAACTCTCTAATATGCAACAATGCAGGAGTTCCCTTTCAGGGGAATCTGCCCTCTTGCCTCCGATAGGCTTGAAAATTGTATGAAGGGATCTTTATTTCCAATCCCGTTTGATACTCGGGATGAAGTCAGAACGTGGTAAGAACAAAAACTGACGACCACTCGCCTACGGTTTAGTTTGTACCAACCACTGAACCGTGTGTCTATTATACCGCTGTGTTTACAGTCGTGGCAATAGAAGCGTTACGAAAAATATCGAGTAATTAATTTGCTCAAATTTATCAGTTAGCTCACGGAGTTCATCAAATATTTGAAAAACTCCTAACTTCCGGTCTCGAATTGACCACTATCTATTCCTATTGGTTAATGAAATAAGTAGATGCATATGATTGGACAGTTCGAAACCGGAAGTTAAGAGTGTTTTAAATAGTTGAATAATTTGATGAACCACTGAGTGGATTCCTTCATATTTTTCGGAACGCTTTTATTGCCGCCGCTGTAAGTTATATTAGTTGAGTTTTGTGTTGCGCGATGTTATGTGAAAGCAAAGAATAAACTTTTTTCTATCTTTCTACTCGTATTAGAATCGCGATTCCTAAGATAACACATTGTATTACTATCAATAGTGTTACCGTGAATATTTTGTTTTTTACGCTTTTCAATTCCACATTTATTTTTTCCGTTGTCAACTCACACACATTATTTATCCCTACTTTGATTGTCCTGTCCATGTTTTCCATCTTCCTCTCCATGTTTTCCATCTTCTTTTCTAGATTTCCTAGATTTCTTCTTATGTCGGTTAATTTCGTATTCGCATCTTCTGTTGTCGTCCCCATGTTCCCCACGTCCCTTCTTATATATCTAACATTCGTCCCCGTCTCATGTATCGTCTTCCCCAAACTTTTAATCTTAGCGTCAATGTTTGTCATTTCTTTAGCCATGTTCGCAATTTTTGTATCTACGTTCGCCGTCGTCGACGTAATTCTTTCAATTTCAGTCTCTACGATAACAAACGCCAAATTTATGCGTTCACAGCTGTGGCATTTCGATCGTCTAAACTGGCAAACTTCATGCTGGTGATAATTAAAATCTCGTTTATTGACTACCTCATGGCAACCTTCATTTCCGCAAAACACGGGTTGAAAACCGCACACTTCGACGTGTTGCTGCAGGTTTTGTAGCTGTATACGGTCCTGACAACCCCTGCTGTAATGATCACAACGAATCATTAACTCGTTTAAAACATTTTTCACAACTCTCGGGATTTCGCTCAATGATTCGACAGTCATCAACCCGGTGCACGTTGGGCACGCTTGGCAGTTTTTATGAATATGCTTCGTGATACAATCGCGACAAAAATAATGTTCGTTTCGACACATCACAGGATCTTTTAACACATTGTAGCATATCAAACAGTGAAGGAATTCGTCCACATTCGATTCAAATCTTTCCTCTTCGTACCCCGACTCCATTATTTTGTGCTTTTCTATCGCGTTATTGCTGAACAAAACGTTCCTTATCAACAGGACACGGTTTAATAAACGTGAGAAGACTGTGTTAACACGACGCCATTACCCAAAACAACAACTTTAATATGTCACGTGGTACCTGAATACAACAGGTACCCGAAGAACATATTGTAACATCTTCCCCTTTAACAGTTATGTCGCTCGGAACATCTGTAGCACTGAGCTATATAATAATTCCTTTTTTTCCTTGAGTTATGGGCTGATATGCATAAGCATGATGTTCTAAGGAAAACATCACATAACAACATATTTTCTGCCGGTAACCTTTAGTCGGCGATTGATATCCGAAAGATAATCCAAATTTCTGACAAGACTCGAAAAATATTCAAGTATTTTCAAAAATTTTATACAGAAATGTATGAATAATGAAAATAAATAAATAAATAAAATAACCTGTCAGCTAATCGTATATAAAAATCCTTCGTCCACAATTTTTTTTTACGTTTTAATATTAATATTTTCTCTGGCATTCGCAAAACAGCGTCCACGATTGTATAGAACTGAAATAAACGCCTTATTGCAACGCTTTGTAGCACAAAAATAAATCGAAAAATACAAAACAGCAAGGTTTCCAATTCATGTTTCACGGCAAAAAAAATATTCATAAAAAACCAGGGGGGAAATACTGTTGTTTAGATAAACCAGGGGGGAGCATCTCTCGTAGCGGGCTCAGATTTGAGCCTGGTCAGTGGTAATTACCCTGGGCAAAGGGGACCATATGGCGTCAGCAAAACTTCTGCGCAGTGCGCAGAAGGCAAAATCCGCCATGTTTTTTTGTGCAAAAAGATGGCGGCGAAGTTACCGAAAAATGACGAACCGGTCCTCCAGGAATTATTATATAGCTCAGTGATCTGTAGTTACCGTACGTATTCCATATATGGCAGTGATTGCACAATATGCAAGAGCAAATACATGACGCTGAACAACAAATACATGACGCTGAAAAGCAAATACATGACGCGTGCTTGGTCTTGGGTCCAAGCTTCCCACTTCGCGGATGTACAAGATGGCGGCTAAAGGCATGGAGTTTTGTTTAGTTTGGTGACTAAAACCTTTGTTTGTTTGTGTATATTCAATATATATGACAAGATATTTATAATCTTAAAGGTAGGAACGGCTTAGAACCAAATCTGTATTATATTTATTGTACTGATTGAAAAATAAATATTGCATTACTAATTTTTATTAGGCTAGTCAACTTCAGCAAATGCAATAGCAAAATATTTGGTTTCAAACACAAAAGCTTTTTAGTAGTTTATTACTGAGTAATCTACAGTGTGAAGCTGTCAATAAGATTTAATATCCTTTGATATTTCTTACTGCAAATCCATCCTGGACTAAAATCCATTAAATAGAAGAGACGTATTTTATTATACAGTGCCATATGAAATAGTTGGGCTATTACCTTATCTGCACAGCTGGTATACTACTCTAACGAAATTCAAGAACCCCGTTATTAAGATAGAGCTAGAGGAATATTAGTTTAAAAGAATGTCTCAATAGAGACATCCCTGCACTATTTGATTAACATGGCAACTTGATATATCAGAGTTTATATCATATGCCACTCATGGTGAAATAATTATCAATGATCTTTTCTTATATGCGTGTAGTTCAGCTGTACTGGCTGTGGAATAGCGGCATCTTAAAATTAACGATTGAGATTCCTTGACATGCATGCTTGTGATATCTGTCTCACTGAGATGCTGGAACTAGCCACACTTGTTAATACTATTGTAACATCCAAAGACAATAACAAATATGAATGATATTTTACACAGCTGTGTCTACTCACACAGAAACCTTAAAAGAAGCTTTATTTGCTTGCTGAAGCCATTGTGTATAAATATATACATAGAGCCAATATCAAATTTGGTACTTACAATCAGTGTTGGTAGATAGCTGCATATTTGAGGCCAAACAACATCACACTAGTTCTTTGTTTCCTTTGTCTTTGCCTTTTATTTTCTTTGTTTTCTTGATAGCACTAATGACAATTTGGCCTCAAATATTTGCATATCTACCAACTCTGCTTACAATATGGTTTTTTAGCAACACAGAAATTGTGTATAAGATTGATTACAATTCAATACTGTACAACACCATAATAATGTCTTCTTGAAATTGTAATTATTATACTTGATAGCATCTCCTATCTGCCTTCTGAAAATAGTAGGTTGACTTGTTGATTGTTATTCAAAGTATTTACTGGAAATTACCCATTGTTGCTAGATGACAGGCTGTAAAGTTGCAGTCATGTTACATGTAAGCTGAAATGTAAACAATTAACCCAAGAAAAACCAGTTCGGTGATCAGTTTATTGGTGACATTTCACAGCAATTTTAAACAAAATAGTTTTGTTATACTTTTAGAATATAATATATCTGTACTGTTACAGTAACACTCCCCTTGCTACTTAAATATATATATATATATTAATATATATATAATATATATATATATATATATATTATATATGAATTATGGAAATATTTATGACACAACCCTCAAGACATGCAGGTATGTAAATAGTACACTAGGTAAGAGGCTGAATATTGCATAGATTGTAAATATGCTGAGTTATACATGTATTGCTACTAACTGAAGATCAAAAGTAGGGTTAGCCTCAGAGCAATGCATCTTTTATTTTTTTACCTTGTCGAACACCAGACAATTTTTTCTGCGATGGGCTAATCACATGTATGTGTTGCCACTTTTATTAGCTAATAAACGGTAGCCTCTATAATACATCAGACTAAATATTTGTTTTCTATTGATCTCTATCGGTCAAAGTTCACAGTCTTATAACTTCAGAATAACTTCGGAGGTTAACAATGCCTTCTGTATTTATGTGTTAAATAAGCACTAAATACACCCAAAAATTGCCCCATTCTATAATATTTTATGGTAATACTATTTGCAACTTGTGGGAACTATAGAACACTGTGGCCTAAATAATTGAGTTGATGCAACAAATTCTTTATTCGTATTTTATATAAGCCAGCATTACCAAGGGCAACCACAAAAATATTGTAAAAAATATTCTTGCCGTTCAAAGGAGCATAATGGTTTTCTTTTCTAAGTATATGGGTTCGATTCCCATAATGCTCTACTCTAGACTACCGGCTGCAAGAATTTAGAACGAATAATTTTTGGAACTCAAGAAGGTTTCGTAACTTCGTTTGTACATTGCACGTTTTGCTGTAAATGACAACAAAAGGGACGTAATGTATCTCCGAAATGGAAAGTAGGGCTGAGAGTTTTCCTATAAAAATACTGCTTTGTCGGAAAATACCCGGCGCAAATTCTCTCGGTGCCTAAATGCTACAGACAACACGCTGATCGATCAAATCAACGCACAATAAATCAAATCTGATAAAGATTTACAGAGGCCGAAAACTTGATTCTCACAAGACTTCTTGATTTTTTGTATTTTTACTATGTGTATTTTACCGAGTAAAGTCGCTTTAACAAACTCTAATAAAATCACACCCCTTGCTGCGTTTTGTCATTTGGAACATGACGCGTAAGCCTAAATCCAGACATGTACGCATATACATGTAACCTGACCAAACTTGCATCGATACCTGAAGATGTTTTCGTAACATGTCGCATAACCCCAAGCTTAGAATCCAGTTATCGTTAAAATTATGCACACCATCACTGAACTCTTGGTATCTGTACGGAAGCTTACATTCATCGCAGAACTTTACGTATACAGAAACCCCTGAAAAAATTAGGTGAACATTACTGCAGTGCTACAGGATTGAAAAATCAAAGTTTCTTGATCGCTCAACATACTGTGACCGAAGTGTATATGAGATGCTAGAACATGTCACCACAAATCAGAACTGTATCACTTAACTATAGAGTACCATACAGTAGTGTAATAGCATGTTCTAAAAAATACCCTACCTTCAATAATTCCTTTTAATGTCACAATTTTGGCATTCCTCGTAATACAAACAGGCTCACTTAAAGGCAGGTTACAATACAAGCAAGATGTCTCCACTGGGCAAAGGCTGAAGTTATAAAACAAACATTTAATGATACGCAGCAAGATGAATGTATTATTTTGTTATGTTGCGTTATGTTGTGTTATCATGCCAGACAACTATATTACCACATAAAGGCCAAGACACAATGATAAAGAAAGCATTAATGTATTTAGTACCTTGTAATAAAGTCGTCTTTTTGCACTGTCAAGGAGAGTGGCAGCTTTGCTGGGATTTTCTTCTCGGGAAAAAGATACCTCACAAGTTTAACTGCATTGTCTCCAATCGGGGGATAGAATTTTCCAGATTGATTTGGGAGAAGAACTTCTTGCATATCACCACCGATATCTCTCTCAAGCTCAGGAAGAGCATTACCATCTTCCATATGACCTTCCTCTTCTTCGTTTGAAGTGATTCGAACAAGACCAAGAGCCTCACGATGCCACTGAGACAGCGCCCATTTCACAAGAGATTTATGAACACAAGAACGGCGAGAACGGCAACATTTACAATGAAAAGAAGAGCCCTCTTTGTCAAAAGAGACTACTACACGATTACAGAAGGACCAGTAATGATCTCTTTTTACGTTGGCGAAAACAGAAAAGTGAAGAAAGCGAGGTGAATCCGTCGAGACAGGCATTTGCACAACTAATGGTACACCAAGGATAGAAGACTGCCTTTGCCACTCTAAGCATTCTACTTTCCGTTCCGGCTTTAACCACTTTAGAGTGTCTACAATATAGCTTAATGACTCTTCTTTGAGATGACATGAGGGAGCAACACGTGGACAGGACAAGAACTGAGAAGATCTTAGGTGGTCACATAAAAAATTAGTTTGTCCACTTCTTGATGCTGTGGCACTTAATTCACAACAAATTTCTGCACTACAAACAATGGACGTTGGGTGATTGATCTTATATTGGCAATGGATTGGATGGTCAGTTCCTCGCATTTGTTGCCGAATCAAGTAAATCCCATTTGATGAATCAACACAAACACCTCTCAAATGCCTCGATGAAGTAATACCTTTCCTATGATCACCACCATGTTTTGTTTTAATATGGTTGCTGATGGAGTTTGGATGGAACTCTCTGCAACATTCTGGAAAAGGGCACTTCACTCGAGCAGATGGTTGTCGCACTGATCTTGGTTCTGATGGTCTGTAGCAAAACACTGACTGAAACTCGTTAAACTGCTGCTGCATTTCTGGTTGTTGTTGCTGTTGTTGTTGTTGCTGTTGTTGATGTTGCTTCTGTTGTTGTTGCTGTTGTTGTGGCTGCTCTTCTTCCTGTTGTTGTTGCTGTTGTTGTGGCTGCTCTTCTTGCTGTTGTTGTTGTTGTTGCTGTTGTTGTTGATGTTGTTGCTGCTGCTGCTCGTGCTGTTGTTGTTGCTGTTGTTGTTGTTGTTGCTGTTGTTGTTGCTGTAGTTGTTGCTGTTGTTGATGCTGTTGTTGTTGTTGTTGCTGTTGTTGTTGCTGCTGTTGTTGTTGTTGTTGTTGTTGTTGTTGCTGTTGTTGTTGTTGCTGTTGTTGTTGCTGTTGTTGTTGTTGCTGTTGTTGTTGCTGTTGTTGTTGTTGTTGCTGTTGTTGTTGCTGCTGTTTTTGCTGTGAAGGCAAAAAAATGTGTGTTTTCTCAATATGTTTAAGAGCATCAGCTTTACGTTTAAAGCCACTATTACATCCAAAGCAATGGTAGTGAGTGGATTCGCGCAGCTTATCATTTGAACCATTTCGGCTAGATTGAAAAGTGCATGCCAGTTTACACCTCAAAATGGTGAAACCTAGAAATAATAAATCATATTCTTAAATTGATTATATCTTAAGTTTACCTATACAAGCATTACGTTGCAATACAATTAACCCATTAAAAATGACAGCACTCCCTGGGTAAAATGTAACACCATATGGGAGTACAAAAATAAACTTCTTACAGAAATTGAGGAGCAAGACCTCTTTACCTCAAGACCGTTTATACTCTGTGTTGATTACATATGATTAAGTCTGCAACTTGTCTGTTTAGGGCAGATTAAAGCTACCCTGACAAGTGCAAGTAAAATAGTGGGAGTTATCATCACAGCTCCAGCATAAATATTCAAAGCAGTCATTTAGGAAGTGTACAGTTTAACCCATTCGGCACCAGCACTCTCTCCTTGACAAGTAAATCATCTGGCATTGGACAGAGTAAATACTAAAGTAGGGCACATCAGGGTGCAATGCAACTCAATGGGTTAAGTATCAGTGTGCATGCAATTTATATATGCCACAAGCCAATAATCATGCTCCCTATCACCTGGTTATTTCCTGTCTAAAGCCAGGCAATTTTTGTTTGTCAAAGGGAGACCTGTTATTTCCAATCTAAAACCAGGCAAATTTGATTGTCAAGGAAAGACCTAGCTTTGCCCACAATATATTACTGTCTCTTAACCAAAATTATTACATAGATAAATTTCCACTGCCTGCAATATGGTAGTCTACCCTACTATTTCACTCATCAGGCAGGCGGTGAATAAAGTGAAGTTACATGAAGGCATAAATGATAACTAAAATGCCCTATCATAATTAGACAGAAAAAAATAGCAAAGTAGGGTGCACCTAACTAGGGTAGATTTGCCCCTAATCAGTGGCGTACAGGAGACAATAATTGGGGGGTGGAAACATATTCATATATTCATTTTAACAGACTTGTAAAGATAGTGGATTTGAAAAGAAATTAATCTTGCACAACATGACTATATGAATATGTGCCTCCCCCCCATTATCATCTCTCATACGCCACTGCCTCTAATAAAAATAGGTTAATTACCATGAGATATTAGCACATTGCCGTAATGGTCTTCCCTTAATGACTAAAATAGCCTGGCTTTAGAAAGGTTATAACAAACTAGTAGGGTGCACCATCATGACATTCATATATTGCACATTACCAAATACCAATTACCAATGGTCAATGGAATGAATGGATAGTACAAACCATGTTTTGTTAACCCAATAAGGCAGTAAGGGTGTATAACGGTCCTAAAATTATTTCCTGAATTTTTGCAAACAAGCCAATACAAAGGATGGCAATTCTATGATTGTATCCAGTGTGGCTGCAGCACACTTAATTTTAATGAACAAATAATACAAGACAAAATGATATTACACCCGTCCTTTACATCTGCTTTATGACGCTTTGTAACCCGTATTCAGTGAAGCATAAATTGTGAAAAAAAATGCTATTTACATAAATGAATAATTATACCTTGGATACTAATTCGGTTTTCCACATGGACCTTTTCAAAATGTTGTCTCACTCTGCAAGGTATATCTTTTGCAAACTTGTTCTGTGGACAAAGCTGGCAATGGTAAAGCCGTCCTTGGCAAATATCATTTCCACAGGCTTGTTGATTGCACTGCGTGATATGGAAATCTCGGGGTTCACTTTCATGATAGACTGAGAGATGCAAACCCGTGCGCTCTTCGCTACTTTGCGCCATCTTGTTTATTTGGCGCGATTGTAATACGTCGCGCAATTCAAGGCGAACCGGGAACGTCATGTATTTGCTCTTCAGCGTCGTGTATAAGTTGTTCAGCGTCATGTATTTGCTCTCGCATATTGTGCAATCAGTTACCTTATATGGAATACGTACTATAAGTGCCTATCGCTCGGAAGAAGTCCAAGCAAGATTTTAAGTACAACAAAATTTAAATGTGTTTTAAATTTCAAGTAGCATCACTGCTAGAGTTCTAAACATAACCTGGACGATTTTATCTGTTCTCAGTTTCACTATTTATAGAGTTCATAGATATATTTTTTACAGATTCCTTGTAGGCGTTCATTTGCAATCATAGTCCTATGGGTGCTGTCTCTTCCTGGGTTCCATCATCATCCAATGCTGGGTCACCCAGAGGTTCATAATCCTCGCGCGCTGCTGCTGAACGGCTCATCAGATCTTCTTAAGTGTACTCTATTCCGCCGATATGTTCCGCCCACATCATGTTTGGACTTTGGATGTGACAACTGCTTTTCGCCATTTGTTTTCGCCAAGGCGAGTGGGCTTCATACACACCACGTCTCCTATTTTGAGCTTGCTCAGGTCTTTCGCTATCGCCGGATTATGTACATCACTTGTGTAGTTTGTTTCTTCCTCAGCTTATTCTGTTGCGTTTGCAATGACGGGTCCGAGGGCTGCAGTAGGTTCGTCGTCATGGGTAGTAGCGTTCTAGTGCGTCTATTCATGAACCGTTGTATCGGGCTAAGGTCCATGCCCTGGGATGGGATGTTGCGGTAACTCAACAAGGTCATTTGGAAGTCAGACCAGGCTAGGGTAGCCTTAAATGCCTTTTGAATGAGACGTTTCGCTTTTTTGACAGCTAATTCTGCCATGCCATTTGACTGGTGGTGCTCGGGGCTCGAGGTGTTCAAAGTCCCACTTCGTGGAGGATGTGGCGAATTCAGCATAATTTTCCTAACTTCTTACAAGCGATTTACGATTTAAAACTTCTTTTAACATGACAAAATACGGTAATATTTATACAGTTTTTGATCAAAAGCTTTTCGTACGATGCGGGATAACAGTGGTCCCTGTACTCATTTTTTAAAATATTTTACATGATCCTATTGGCTGAGGTTCGTTGGTCTGTTTTTTTTCAACCAATAGGATCGTGTAAAATATATATAATCGTCAAACCAACTGTCAATGTTTTGAAAACACTCTCTAATATGCAACAATGCAGGAGTTCCCTTTCAGGGGAATCTGCCCTCTTGCCTCTGATAGGCTTGAAAATTGTATGAAGGGATCTTTATTTCCAATCCCGTTTGATACACGGGATGAAGTCAGAACGTGGTAAGAACAAAAACTGACGACCACTCGCCTACGGTTCAGTTTCTACCAAGCACTAAACCGTTTGTCTATTATACCGCTGTGTTTACAGTCGTGGCAATAGAAGCGTTCCGAAAAATATCGAGTAATTAATTTGCTCAAATTTATCAGTTAGCTCACGGAGTTCATCAAATATTTGACAAACTCCTAACTTCCAGTCTCGAATTGAGCACTATCAAATCCTATTGGTTAATGAAATAAGTAGATGCATATGATTGGACAGTTCGAAACCGGAAGTTAAGAGTGTTTCAAATAGTTGAATAATTTGATGAACCACTGAGTGGATTCCTTCATATTTTTCGGGACGCTTTTATTGCCGCCGCTGTAAGTTATATTAGTTGAGTTTTGTGTTGCGCGATGTTATGTGAAAGCAAA